CATTATTTTTAAATATATTATGATAACTTACAACCCTGGTAAATTATTCATGAATCGTCTTTCGTTTTATCATAGTCCGGTGTCGTATAATTGTTTGCCTTGCCGTACCTCTTACTCGCTTGTACCAACCCGCCTCGTATACCTATAAAAATAATTACAATTCGGTTAATATACATATATATATATTTTTTTTTTTTTAAATTAAATTAAAATTGTTTTACCCTTTTTAAACATCAGCAGCATATCATAGTCCGACAGAAGTTCTAGTTTGACACCCGTATATTTAAGCATACAGTCAAAGCTGAACCCGGGCGCCGTGTGTAAATTGTATGTCGTTTGACAGATATCCCGGAAATTTTCAAAAACGTCAGTAAGAAGCATCACATCGATCTTCAAATATAAGTCTGAATATTCCCCAAACGTTTTGCATCCAAATCTTCTCCATACTGCCTTTGCGTGTTCGTACTCCGTGCCCGCTATATTTTCTTCCGTCAACGTGCTGAAAAACTCATTCTTCCTCGGTAATGTTTCTTCCTTCAATTTTCCCCAACTATCTGTACATTCGTACAGATATACACCCTTCCACGTAACAAGGGACATATCCTCTTTGTTGAACACTTTCATTGTCTCGCGGAACTTAACGAAATCCGGTGTTAATAAATTCGACGCGAGAGATGAAAGTTTCGATGCCATAAAACGACCTGTGTCTATAAATCTTACGGTGAAGGTCTTGCTCACTTACTTCGAAAACGAAATAAATTTTTCCGCACTATTAGGAATGACTGAAATTGTTTCGGCATCGTATCCCAGCTCCTTGACGATGAAATGCGCGTCGTAATTGCCAAGATTATTGAAAAAACATGGCACGAAACTGGGAACCTGTAACTTTAGGTTACAGGTATAGCAAAGCGTCTGTCTCCCTGACAGGTGGTTATGGTCGGCGACTTTATAATTTTGTGCAGAAAATTTATTTCTAAATAAGTTGCATTATTCGCAGGCCGAATGTATCTCAAGCTTTTCGTCAGCCATCGTAATAGGTTCATTTGTCTTCAATATTTGCTCCACGCGTAAACCCAACTCCGCTATCGTCTTTACAAAATGTTTCGTCATGTTCGGTTCATCTTCTGTCCCTCTGTAGATTATCGGCTTGGTAGGTATGTCAAATTCTTCTAATAATTCCTTAGGATCATTATCGGCCGCCTTCACGTAAATGCCGTAAAACATCGCTCTATGATTATGGATTATGGTACTACTGCCTTCTTTCTTCTCGTCCGTTTTCTCCAAAATAGTCTCGAAATCAGCGTAGATGGTGATGGGGTGCCTTTGTGTTTTTCCCCACGCTTCAAATTTTAATTTCGATCCGGGTCCAGGCATAACGGGTAATATAGGTTTATGTCCACCGCATATCAATTTATGCTGTTCTAGCGCCGCCTGCCCGCTCAACTTCAACCTCGGTCTGTTGTCGAAATTAGTGAAACATCTCTTGCAAAATATTACACGCTCTTTGTGCTCAGTTATCTATGAGCGTACAAGACGGGAGAAGTCTGAGATGTATGTTTAATGAGATTTATCGTTTTTGAAATTTAAAAGGAGGTCGAAATGGTCATCTTTCTCCTCATCAGCTACTTTCAACGGAAAAACTGTTTGTACCGTTTTTTTTATTTTTCTGCTCTTCTTTCAACCCATAGACGTTGACCGAAACATTATTATTTTTTTCGAATTTTCTGACTTCCGTGAGTGCTGTTGGAAAAGATAAATTTTTAAAATTATATTTATCCTCCTGTACCATATACCCACCGTCGACTCGTTCTCTGTTTATGCCCGTAACGTGTTTCGCCAAAATCGCCAATTTAAAACATTTCTCGTCCGTATTTTAAGGGTTTATTACGGCCCGTTTATTCGAAATGTCTGTGGGTAGTGGAATACATAACGAACCGTCAATAGGTGTATATTTATATACGCCTAATAAAGTCCATCTATGGATTGAAGTGTTAGTCCACTACCCTGACTTTGATACATGTCCTGTTCGGATATTTTCTTCTACTATGTCTTCAATTTCGCTTTCGAAAAAAATAGCTCGAGCGGATGTTTTAAATGACCTATCCACAGTAGAATTATCTACCTGTGGCTTATAATATATCGATTCGAGTTTAAAATTGAATTTAATGGGATTATTTACAGATATTGTTTTGAGAAGTTGAATTATAGAAGGTTTGAGAGATTGGAGAAATATTTTGTAGTTGAAAATATTGTTTAAATTTTTGGTGTAATACCAAACGATCTTTCTTGAGTGAGACGTGTCGATTTCGGTGATTCCGGGGGCGTTCACTAAACCCATCCTAATTTTCTTCACCTTTACGGCAGTTTCAATGTTCTTACGTTTCGTACCTATCGGGGAATAAAATACCTAAATTATAACCTGTTCTAAAAATCCACCAAACGGTCTGACAACCGGTGTAATACCGGAATACTTCAACTATTACCCCATAGGATGCGACGAGTGAATTGATCGATACAATGCCGGAATTCTCCAACTATTGTACCATTGATCGTTTCACATACCGTATGATGAGTTGTAATATATGGCTCGATTGAGAAATATTATGTCACGTGTTTAATAAAATAAAAAATTTTATAATACTACTGATGTGGCGGGGTAAAATAAAAAAAATCTTATTGTTGTCATAATCCATAAACAGGTAATCGTTTTCTTCGTTCGTTGTCCATTGCATTTGTGCGTTTAACAGGTGTTGTGGTTGTAGTATTCTGCGGGGCGAAAGATCAGCCGGTCTGTGGGATATTAGTTGGGGCGATTCTTCCCTCATGGTGCACAATTTTCACGTGGATATCCAATTTGTCTTTACGCGCAAACATTTTTTTGACATAAAACGCACTGAATTTTTACACTGGCGTGTGTTTTGGCGTGGCGCGTTAGGTGATTTTTTGTGTTTAACACTTTGGTGCACCCGGCGAATGTGCATGTGAACGTATTCATTTTATATGGATATAAAAATGTATGAAATAAAATAAAAACGTTATAAAATATAACAAGCGCTATAAAAACTGAAACAATTATCACTCTTACAAAAACTGTGGAGAATAAAATATTCGAGAGGAGATGGTGTATGCGGCGGGTGTATAGAATATGTACTACTGACCGATAATCGTAATCAGGGATGTATTAAATAGGACTATCGAATATCGTATTCGGCGTCGGCAACGGCGGCGCGTTGAACATATCGTCTCCCATCAACGCCGTCAAGACGGAATTGGAACCGCATTTCGAGCCCTGTCTGATCGACACGGGCGACGCGAAGAAACGGTACAGCGTGGCTCAGTACGGACCCGCGGTGACCAACGACCATCACATTTACAATAACAACAATCAGCAGCAGCAGCAGCAGCAGCAGCAACAACAGTCGCACCCTTACCATCACCAGAGTAACGGTCACTTGAGCGTTATTGGCGGAGCGACGTTGACCCGCGCCCCGAAACCTCTGAGCCCGTACCAATCGTGGACCGCTTCGCAGCTGTTGCACGAACACGAGCGCAGGACCAGCCCGTACGGTCAGATCGGCGATTTCGACGGCCAATACGCGCCGCCGGTGCCTCCTCTCCCGGCGTACCAGCAACAACAGCTCCAGCAACAGCAACAACAGCAACAGCAGCAACAGGCCAACGTGGAAAACATTTACGGGACCGCGCCGGGACATTACAACCAGCAGCCGCAGCAAAACGGACTTCCGCCGCCGGGCCAATACAACAGCTATCACCGGAACAACATGATACTGTTCAACCAGAGCCTACAGGGATCGTTGAGCTCGGTGAGCAGCGGCGACAAGAAGAAGAGAAACATAACCATGGTATAAACGAGACGGGAGAAGAGAACGGGGAAAACTTCAGACGACTATGGCGCGTCAAAGTATTTTTAAGACTGACTATACTTATTTTGTGCGACTTTGGTCCTTCTCCAGCGTCGATCATGTGTGTACGAGGGCACTGGTCCGGCGTACTATTATGTTCACCGGTTGTTTTTCTCAATTTGTTTCATATATTTTTTTTTTTTGTTTTTTTTATGCGGTTTCTAGTCAATTCACAAACGTCGTAGACTAAAAACCACCACACGCGTACGTACAACCATGTTTATGATATTATTTTGTTTTTGTTATGATCTCACTCGTTTCTTGTAAAATACTTTTGTAATTTGTATATTATATCATAATAATTATATTATTATTATTATACTACTATTTATATTAGTATATTACTATTACTAAATAAGAGCGTTATAGTATTTTATCATGATGCTCTTTTTATCGGTCGTATTAATATTTCGTGAACTGCCTCTGAGAACCCTACACATTGATAATATTATACTGACAATATTGTAAATTATTATTATTATATTAATAAGTCGAGTGTTACTCACCGTTTTGTGCTTTTTTTCTTTATTTTGTATTATTTAACTATTATAAGTGTAAAACATATTCTTTGTAAACATAACCAAAAATATATTGTTATGAATAATTTGTTTTTCAATTTCATATTAGCTTTCGGATGGATTTTTTTTATATATATTTTTTTTTCTAGACGTTAATCATAATGATAATATGTTTTCTCATATCCAAAATATTATTTATATTGTACTATTATATTTTTGTACCTACATGTAAATTCGCAGTAGACTACTTAGTTTGATACCCTAATTGTATATTGTATATTATTATTATTATATCGATAATCCTAATTGCATACCATAATATAATATTAAAAT